ATTTATTTATTCTTTTTATCAGTTTCATTCATTATTGGTGAATTAAAAGAAATAAAAATGTTGACCACTATTAATATTTTATTAATCAGAAAGATTTATTTTTTGTACCAATAAAATTGTTAGATAAATTAAAATGAATGAATCTGTGAATCATTGTTAGTGGATGATTATGTTGCGTGGAAAGAGTAAAAAAGTGGAGAATGAAGAGACAGAAGGTGAGCTGAAACAGAGGAGACCGAAGTGTGCTCGGTGTAGAAATCATGGCTTGATTTCTTGGTTGAGGGGACACAAAAGAGAATGTCGTTATAGGGAGTGTCTTTGTCCGAAATGTTCTTTGATTGCAGAAAGACAGAGGGTGATGGCTGCACAGGTAATATTTTTCTTCGATTTCAACTTACAATAAAAATTTAAATATTTCATTTTGTCAATTAATTATATTTTGTTGATTTTTTTTGAAAACTTTTCAAAATGTTTAATGTTGATTCAAAATGAAGACATATTTGACGCACACATTTATTGAAACGATAAAATTGTGATCATCCTATTTCCAGTGGGTATTTAATATAATTTTTTTATATATATTAAAAATAATTAATGAATTTTTACTTCATTGCAAGTAGATAAAAATATAGAAAAAAAAGATCAACATTGTTACCTTTAACATTTAATAAAATTAATCATCCTTTAATAATTTTTCATATAGCCAAAGTGCTATTAAAAATATCCTGACTTTTGCAAGAAAAAAAAAGAAAGAAAACAGAAGGAAGTTAATGACAAAGAGATATTCAGTTTCTATTGTACTTGTACCACTCGATCTCCTTTTTCTCTAATAAGAGAAAGAAAGTCGATCAAAATGGGAAAGAAGAGGAATTAAATCCATTAACGCTTGGTGTTGCGTTTCATTTCTGTTTGCATAGGCATTATGACACTCGATACTTCATCCATCCTCTAGCTCGATGGTAACATTACTATCAGATTCTCAAACAAACCTGCGTGAAATGCAGAAAATATTGGCTTCTGAATCAAGTTTAAATTCCATCAATCAACCGTTAATTTGTTTGATTTCTTTTACATTAATGATCATTACTTCTATAATTATATATACTTGAAAAATATTCGATTTCAAAGGCTATTAAAAATTAAAGATGATGTCAAGTATTTAAATAATTTTAAAATTAACTTGGGATCTTTGGAAGTGATATTCTTGGTTATTTCATCTTCTTTAAATATTCAAATAATACAGATTATTAGAATATTTTAATTTTCATCATTGAATTTATAATATTAAATAATTCTTTTGGAAAAGTGAAATCTTAAAAATATATTAAAATTCTTCTGAAATATTTGAAATACAAATTTTTGAAAATTATTATTTTCTTTGTTAAACATTCAATTTTAAACATTATTGAAATTTATTATAATTATTCAAAATCAATTTAAAACAATTTATGATTTTATCGCAAAATAAAATATATTTTTCAAAATAGGATACGATTTGTGATATCCTCTTGGATTCTTAGTTACTTCATCTTCGTTTTAGAAGAAGCATAAAATCTAAAAGAGGGACACTCTGTCAGACTTCCTCAATAACTCTGACAATGTGAAACAATATAGTGGGTGGTCTGGCCGGGAATAACACGTGCCAAATGGTCCCATATGTATCTCTATTGACATTGGCTGTTAAGAAAACACATATGCAGTATCAGCTAAGCGGTTGGTCCATTTATAAATTGGACGCAGAGTCATGATCTGATCTGACTTCATTTTTCATTGTGAATGCCAATTTCTATATTTTTGTGTTATATTTATCATAATTAATTGCATTAAATCAATCACGAAAAGGTGGCCCTTAAGAGACAACAGGCAGCAGAAGATGCTATTGCTCTAAAAATGGCTAAAGTCGCAACTGGTCAGAAGCTCAGTCGATTACCTCCGGGAAAAATATTTGGTATGGCAGTAACCGATCCAAAATCAATTGGGGATAGCAACAAACAAGAAAATCCTCCTTCAAAAGAGGATCTAGGAGATGAAGATTCGAAAAAGGACGACTCTTTAAATGATCAATGTCTCAATTCATCAGTATGTAATCATATAGTAACATAAAAATTTTATACAATATAAAATTGTATATCAGTATAAAAAATTAGAAACAAATTACTTAAAGAAAAATTTCAAGAATAAAATATCAATTGAAGTGCTATTGCCATTTATAAATTGAAATTACAGTTCGATTAATCGATGTAGTGTCAACGATATTGAGATACAACACCTAATTGATCAATACTCTTTCTACAGGTGATCAAGGAGAGCACACCAAAGAACAAAAACCTAGTATTCAATGTGAACAATAGAGAGGAAACAAAAGAGAGCAGTGTGTCTCAAACTTCAGTGGAAACATTAGCTCGTCTCTTTCCCAATACAAAGCTCTCAGTACTACAATTAGTGTTGCAAAGATGTGGTCAAGATTTATTGAAAGCTATCGAATATTTTGCTAGTGACAGTTTTGGAATCAATTCGACAACTTATACTTCAGCCTTTCAGCCTCCTCAAAGCATTAACGAGGCCAGGTCTAACGAACAAATTGCTGGTACTATGTTGGCTCCAATTTATTCCAGTCTTTCAAGAAATTTCTATGGAGATGGCTATTGTTTCTTAAATATCGTTCCTGAACAATTTCCTAACAGTATAGTAGATGCAACAGCTTGTACCGCATTGCCAATCAAAAATAGTGGACATGAACAAGAAGGAGTAGCTTTAAATGTTCAATACAATAATTATTTCAATTCAGGAACGCAACAACAGCTGAGAGATCATGTGTATACTCAAGTTACGGATCATCTTTCTCCAAGACCTAGTTTCCTTCATTTACCATCGGTATTACCAGGAATTCCCTGTGTGCAACCTAATTGCTCTCAATGTATTTATAAATTTCCCTGAATTGGAGAATATTTATTCCTTATAATAATATTTATTGAACGCTCTTATGGAAGAATACATGTATTTCAAAACATTATTAATCGTATATCGTGTCTGAATTTCTACCTAACGAATATTTGCATGGTACGGTATCGATATCAGGAGAATTTCCGTGATTGACAGTCCTTGATCTTCAAAGTTTACTGCGATCAGTTGGATTAAGCGAACCGTGTTCTTGACACGCATCGCTTGTTTTGTCACCCTTGTCTCTCTATGAATTGAACTTTGATCGTGAAGCGTGAAAAAACTTGCTAGAGTTGTATACGTACTTTTTTTAAATTGCAAGATTTTTGTATGTGATCGCGATTTATTTTGATTTAAATACTAATAGTTTTTAATTAAACCGTTTTCTTTATAAAATAATTATAAATAATCATGTTATTTAATGTTATTTAATGTAAGAAATCATAAGAGCATTTTTATGATATACAAAATTATTATTTTGTAATAAAAAAAAATTGTTTTTAACAAAAAATCTTGATAATATAATAATTTAATTTATTACCAATATCTTGTATACTATTTTTTTAATTATTTTATATTGTTACTTATTTTATATTTTATAAATAACTTTATTTTATAAAGTTATTTATTGGTAAACGAGGGTTTAAAGTGCTCTTAAACTTGGTCTATAATGACGTAAATAGCTAAGTTATTTATATGTTATTTACAACACAACAAAAAAGAGAAGAGTTTATAAAAGAGTTATTTTGTTAGTATTTCTTAGTTTTTCTCAAAAATTGGTAGAAAGTTTCTCACTGCAGCTATCGCGTAACTGCTAATCTAATAAGATGGCAGTAATGGAGTTAAGAAGGTTCAATTGACTGTTCAAACAGTACCAATATCGTAGATCAATTGTCGATGCCCGGAAGCGATTTACTTTGGCTTTGGTTTTTAGGGAGGTAAAACAGGTTAACCCCGTAGGGAATCTCTTCTATCCATCGTGCAACGAATTATAACAAACTTGACGCCATGTAGAGAATAATACGTTTTGATTTTTCTTTCATTTACTCTGAAATAGATAGAAGGAAAAGACAAACATTGAAATTCAACTGCCACATAAGGATCATTTTTTTATTTGATTCTTTAATAAACATATTACGGCATATACTATACCGTGAATATAACATTTTCTTTTCTTTTTTTTTTTCTTATGTTGTTTCATTTTTGGTACATATATACATTTGATTTTCTCACTCTAATAGACTCTAAATACAATGCTGCCGCCTTAATATTGCGACAATAATTTTATTTTTGTATATAATAATCTATCGATGAAGATGCTGTTTTATTATCATCACGACGATGGTTATTACAATAAAGATAATTATATTTGTAATGATCATTAATATTATATAATTATTTTTGAATCTACTGGCGAGAGAATCATCCTGTACGTTATGAATAGATCAAATATGTTTTTTTTTTATGCTCTATGTTTAAGAATAATACTTATTTGCTTAATAATAGGCACATCAGTTTATGCTAGAGCAATCAATATCATATTAAGGTTCCTCTATGTGAATGTTATATAAGAATATTAATTTTTCAATCTAGAATATTTTGTAAAAATATTGAATTGAAAGATTAATAATGTTATGCATATAAACTATTTTCGTTATATATTCCAGTTTCTCGAATATATCTTTAGTTTATTTTAGAAGAACAAGAATTAGTCATAATTGTTGCCAAATTCTCATAATTAGTGCTCTTAAACTTCTTTAAATGAGGGTTCATATTAATTTTCGTATTTTTTTGAATTACATATTAATTTGCTCGGTAGTATATACAATGTTTTATTTTATAATCTTTCAACGAAAATCGTGCACCCAAATCAATGATAACTTGCATTCTTCTTAATCAAGTTTAAAATCGAAGATGTGGTTTGTTTTTAATCATGTGTCTGTAATAATTAAGATAAAGTAATTGAATTATTACGCAATTATATAAATAATTCTATGAATAGACTTATCAAGATAACATACTTATCAAGATGTTCCCAGAATACCATTAATGCTGCCCGATCCAAATGTCTTTTTGTCCTACTTAGTTCAATCACTGTTACTGCCCAACGTGCTACATTTGCATCTAATCTCATTTCATCGTATTTCAGATGAAATGCACAAACTAAAATACATAGAATAAAAATTGTTAACGTTTACTTAATGTAAACATTATTTCATTTATATAAAAAAAATTACTTTTTGAAAAGATTTCAACAGGATTGCCATCAAAAGGCCAACCTTTAAATTGCCAAGCAGGACCCATTACAAATACCGCGACGACTCTTTCCCAATCTGCGTTTGTAAGTTTTTGTGGATTATCTACTACTCTATATGGTACAGTGAGTCCTCCTTCTTTTCTACGTTGCAAAAGGACCTCATTTTCTCGTTTACAGCCCTGTGTACGTTTTTCTTCATTACTAACATATTTCAGATCTTGCAATATATCTTTTGCATTATACATTGTGATAAGTGATGTATTTGCACTTGGAATGATAATAATAGGAGTTCTACTAGGCCGTTTATTTTGCGCTGCTTGTTGTGGAGTAAGTTTTGCAGCGGATGTTGGCAGCAAACCAGAATTAGGAGTCGCGGAAGGATTACTTGGTGGTTTTCTAACCGCTGGATTGGTACCTTCTGTTACAGACTTTAGAGTCATACCATGATATGTACCCATAGTATCGATTTTAAATCCTTCTGTTTCTTCTTTTTGTCTGATAAATCTTTCTTGATCATAACGATTGTAAACTGCTGGCTGTGGTAAAGGACGCATTGGTGTGGAACGTGGAGTAACCATTGGTGTAGGTGCAGTAGGACCTTTTTGTCTACCTTCTTCGCGGGCTTTGATACTCTGAAGAATTGCAAATATATTTTTTGCAAATATTTTTCCACTACTTTGTAAAATAGTCGCACGTGTTCTCCATTGCCTTTCCCTAGAAACTATATCTTTTGTATCATCAACATCCATCAATATAACACGTAAATCAGATCCCATTCCAATATCATCATTTTCTTTAATTGTGGTACGTTTTTTAGCTAAACGTTTAGCCTTGATAGCTGCAATTTTTTCTACAGACATGGCTTCAGAAAGAGATTTAATATTGTCTACTGTAACAGAAGCTTCTTTTGGAGCATCCAGTCTAGCAGCAAGTTGCTCCTTAACTTTTTGAACATGTGTGTCCTCAAAACGAGGTTTTTTAGAAGAACCACTTTCCAATCCATCTTCAGCTGTTCTTTTAACTTGAGTAGGGATTTCTAAAGGAGCAGATTTATCTATGGCGGCTGATGTAGCAGTTTCACCATTGAGATAAGCCAATAAATCTTTTCTATCTGGTCGTCGAACAACTGGTATATTTTCTGCAGCAGCTTGTCGCACATATACAGGATGTGTAAGTTGTACATGTTTCAGTAAAAAGAGAAGGCACTCAAGAGTATAATATTCCTTTGGTGTTCCTTCTTTACCAGATCTACAATAAATTACATAGCGTACTTTATCATTTGTTAAATATCTTTTATAAGTAAAAAATATTAATTTAAAAAAAAAGAATGTCACATTAAGAGTATGTTTTATTTTTACTCATGTAACCAAAAAGAAACAAAACACTCGCATAAATGAAGACACTGTAACAAACGAGACAAAAAATGATTTTCTTTTTAGTTTCTAGAATTCAAGAATTGTAGAAATAAGTGATAAGTTTTAAAAAAATGCTAATAATATTTTTTAAACTGTTTATTATTTTATTGATGATAAAAGGATTATATAGAAGATTGACTAATGGTGGAATCTGTTCGAGGTTACAGCTGTCGCAATTCAATTTTTAAAAAACTTAACCTCTACTTACCCATAAGTCAAATAGTTAGTTTTAACATTTTTCGGCCAGGAGAATTCACCGAAAATAATTTGATTTTCACGTTCAATTATTTCTTTTTTATTAACATTATATTGTCTGAGCAAGCTCAGCGGGTCCGCCATGATTATAAACTACTACCCCACCTTCGGGTGATATGATAAACCAAAAAATAAATTACCATACACACGGTGCATCATTCGTACACGTCAATTTTGGAATGTATATATCGATTGTGTATCACTACTAACATTAAACGTCATTTATAATATTTCGGTAACAACTTAGTAAAAATATAATTTCAGAATATTTCCAGTTCATTCTTAAAAAAACATATTTATATATCAGAAAATACTTTTGAGCCAAAAGTGAATCGTTTTTAAAGTGCACCCTTTGCGATTATATCTTTATTGACGCTTGGAATAACGATAAGGAATTAATTGTTGTGCCAAATAGTCTTCGAAATCTTTACCAATAAGGTATTTTAATTGAATCTGTTCGCTTTAGTTTTGATTATTATTTACTTATTGTGAACATCAATGCTAATTACTAAAGAACGATGAGCTACCCGGAAAAACAGGATAATATAACGAAAGATGAATGGGTTGCCAAGCTGGAAGAAAATTCTTACACACAACGTGTCTCTATGAACAATTTAATTATGAATTATTTAGTTACAGGTTAGTTTTTCTAAATAAAAATATTTTAACCTGTATATTTTAATTAAGTAATTTTGTTATAGAGGGATTCAAAGAAGCTGCAGAAAAATTTCAACAAGAATCTGGAGTGGAACCAACAGTGGATTTAAGTTCTTTGGATGATAGAATTCGAATTAGAGAAGCAATTCAAAATGGTCGTATTCAGGAAGCAACAGATTTAGTGAATCAGCTACATCCAGAATTATTGGATAATGACAGATATCTTTATTTCCATCTGCAACAATTGCATTTGATTGAATTGATTCGTACAGGAAAAATAGAGGAAGCTTTGCAATTTGCTCAAGACAGATTAAGTGAAGCTGGAGAATCAGATGATGTAATTTTATGTGAATTGGAACGAACCTTAGCACTATTGGCTTTTGATGAACCTCATAAAAGTCCATATAGTGATTTACTTCATCCAACTCATAGGCAAAAGGTATAAATTACAAATATTATAAATATTATATGTTTATAATATTTACATTTTATTTTTAATTCATTACAAAAATAATTTTATATATAATGTATTTTATATATAAATTTACATTAAATTTGTAAAATTTCATTTTATTTTTCTTTATTCTTTGTATTTTGCTTTTATATATGAATTATCTTTTTTTAAAAAATTAGATAGCAAGTGAATTAAATGCAGCTATATTGAAGATGGAGCATAAAGAATCAACTAGTCCACGATTAAATAACTTATTGAAGATGATACTTTGGGCACAAGATGAATTGGAAAAGAAAAAAGTGAAATATCCAAAAATGACAGATTTAGGTAGTGCCACTATTGAAAATCCAAAATAATTTTAAATCAGATAAAATATGAAACAACATAAATATATTTATTAGTATGCGCGCACGCGAGAATATGAATGCGGTTGAATCATATGGATAATTAACATATGAATAGGATTTAGAGAAGGAATAGACTTGAGTATTTTAATATACTCCTGTTCAAATTAGTAATAATTATTTTCTATAAGAATCATATATTTATAAATTTTGATGATATATATATTATAATAGATGCAAATTAAGAGAGAGGAATGCACTGATTACGACAATTACGCAAGTTTTTAACATTGCAAACTGAGGTTATTGTTATAATTCTCTCCATGCGTATTACACCATCGACATGATAAAAAAGTACAAGTTACCAGCTTGCAAAGAAGTTCATCGATATTTTTTAAATAATACGAATATGTCAAGAAACGGACCATTTTAATTAATATCTGTGCAATATATAATAGATGAGTCATCGTCGCGAAAGTAATTTTAACATTGATTATAACTTGATTATAAATATATTATATTATGTTATATTACAGTAGAATCGGTTAAGTATCGATAGTGTTTATTATAAAAAATAGAGAGATATAGTAATACATTACTAATAGTTTAGGAATAATATATGTAATAATTATTCAATGTGTATAAAAATTTATATTTGGTACTATCGATGTAGTAAAAAAAAAAAAAAAAAAA